TGATTTCCCCCCTTGCCAGCCCCTCACCAGTGGCCTCTGATCCTTGGGTTGGGCCCACGCTGAGCGACCTGAGCTTTTTGCACCATTTTCTAATGTGATCTGGCAGCTCAGTTTCCGAGAGATGTTGCCTTAAAGCGCCGTTCTGATGCTGCTTAGCACGTCTGTTGAGCCTCCAACAGCCTTCGCCATCCCCCCCTTCCGCGGGAACAGGGCAGCGTGATCCCCATTTCACAGCAGAGTAAAGTGAGGCCTAGGTCCCGTAATCAGCAGCTGAGGGGAGCGTTGCCGTTCTGTTCCAGTGCGCGCCGGACAACACTCTCCCAACCCCCATCATCTTACAGAGGTGAGCGAGCTTCTCCCCTCTTCGCTGGCTGGGGACACAAGGGGTGGGGTGGCTGCGGAGGGAGGAGGTGGGCCCTCCCCCCGGTAATTGGTGCCCCTTCCTCCCCCTTCCCCCCCAGTGGTTGGTGCAGCCGCCGGGCACTTCAGCCCCACGAGGTGCAAGCACTGGAAGTTCTCTGCCCCCTCCCAGCCGAGCGAGACGCGAGGGGCCTGGATGGGCCGGGGGACCCCGCCTGCCCCATTGTCACCTCCCCGGCACTCCTGGGGAGATGGGGCATCTTGACCACGGAGCGTGACGCAGGCTCGGCCGTGGCCAGTCCACATCCGAAGCAGCTGCAGGAGAACAAGACTGGAAGTTCTCTGCCCCCTCCCAGCCGAGCGAGACGCGAGGGGCCTGGATGGGCCGGGGGACCCCGCCTGCCCCATTGTCACCTCCCCGGCACTCCTGGGGAGATGGGGCATCTTGACCACGGAGCGTGACGCAGGCTCGGCCGTGGCCAGTCCACATCCGAAGCAGCTGCAGGAGAACAAGACTGGAAGTTCTCTGCCCCCTCCCAGCCGAGCGAGACGCGAGGGGCCTGGATGGGCCGGGGGACCCCGCCTGCCCCATTGTCACCTCCCCGGCACTCCTGGGGAGATGGGGCATCTTGACCACGGAGCGTGACGCAGGCTCGGCCGTGGCCAGTCCACATCCGAAGCAGCTGCAGGAGAACAAGACGCCATCTCTTCCAGGAACAGCAGTGCCAAAGAACTCACCTCCTTCGCCGCGGAGGCCATCGCCGTCAACCGCCAGCTGACGCAGCACGACGCCGACGAGGAGGAGGAGGCCACGCGACCAATCATCATCAAAGCTACCTCATGCTCCATGCAGCTGTCCCCCCCTGCGGAGTCCCGGCTGGCGCAGCGCAGGCAGAAGAACAGCCTGACGAAGGCGGGGGCTGCGAGCCAGCACCTCGTCGCGCCCCTGGTCCTGGTGGGCGACCACGCGTGAAGGCCTGCCCGCCACGCCCCCCCACTCCCTGTACATACGTGTGCGCTGCGTCCGGGCAGCGTCCTTTTTTAAAAATGCTGTTGCTAGCTAGCCGCAAGATCAGGACTCTCTCCTATTGGCTGGTTTCCAAGGTGTTGCTGATCTTGTAAGTCCTTGTTTTTGGGGGTTTTGTTTCTGTTTAAAGCCATTTTTTAAAGGTATTAAATCAAGTGTGAGGTGGCTTCACCCAGGGCACATGTCAGGATGTTTAACAGATGACCTATGAACTTTCTTGACTTTTCTTTTTTTTTTTTTTTTTTTTTCCCCCCCTACACCAAAGGACTATTTGTATAAGCGGCTGCTTTTACAACTTCAGCTCATTTCATACTGTGAAGAAAAAAAAGACCCTCAGTCGTATTTTTAACAAAAAGTAGCATTTGGACATTTATTTTCCTACCGAGCTGCAGGGTTTTTCTTTGAAATTGGGGCTGCGACGGGCCGACCGTGGGGAGCGCTTGTTTTTAGAAAACAAAACTGAAAAAAAAAAAAGTTCATTCCTTTGCTGGAGTTGGCGGATGGGGCGACGGTTTAATGGCTCCCAGGGAAGGGTGAGGAGAGCTCTGAGCTGGGAGTTTGTTGCCCTGCCCGACGCTTCCCTGGCCCTACGGACTCCAAAACACAAGGGGACGCTGCAGGACTGGGCGGGGGAGTTGGCTGACGCGCCGTTGGGGAATTGGATCTCTGTGGAAGGCCAGGCCAGTGCTGGGACATGGGGATTCGTGGCATTGGAAGGGGATGCCCTAGCCAATGTGCCCCTGATCCTGGAAGCTTAGCACCGTCCGCTCCCGCTGAAGTGTGAGTGTGAGTGTGTGTGGGGGGGGGGGGGGGGGGGAGGAGTTCTGCACCTCGCTGGACCCGGCCTGGAAGACCCTGGTGCTGGCAGATGACTTCTCCCTCCTGGGGCGTGTGATTGCCCTGGTTTGGATTGGAACGGGAACGCCGCTCCTCGCTCCAAGACAAGCTCTGGAGCCGCTGTAGAGTTTGGGGTTTGGTTTTCTTTAGTTGCCTGCCGAGAGCTTTGAGATGCGTCTTCCTTTGCTCCCCTAGGTCCTGGCCTTTGGGCTCCGACGGGAACAGAGCTGTACCAGCGCCATGCTTCCTAGAGTTAGAGGGGGTGCCTGCTACAGCCTGGCTGTTAGGGAGTGGAGCGGGGGCAGGGGTGTGAAATTTTCCACCAGCCTTGCCAGGTTTTTGGAACATTCGTGGTCCGAGTTAACTTCCTAACTCTGTGTTAGAGCCGCTCCTGGCCTAGGAGAGTCGGTCGGGGCTTTGCCATGGCACAGATCCAAGACTCGCAAGGGGGCGTGCGTGCGGGCTCTGCCCCAGTTACTAGCGGCCAGTTGTCTGACCTCCCGTGAACAGCTGGGTTCCCTGGGACAGCAGGATCCTTGCAACCATGGCTGGCAACCTCCCTGCCTTGGAAATCAGCTGGTGCTTTTTAGAAAGGAAAAGTTCGTTCTTGCTTTCGGTGAGCCCTGTGTCCCAGGGCGACGGGCCCATCTTTTCGGGCGAGGACCCCAAGTGGCTTTTCGCCTTGCTGGCTCGGTGACTCCTGGAAAGCAGCGTCTGTTGCAGGAAGGCAGAAGCAAGGGGGGAGGAGGGTTTCCACAGGCTCTGGGTGGGGCAAGGGATTCATGTCCTGATGGAATTGACTTATTCGTCAAAGACACGCTCCACACTTGTTTCCGTGGGCATAGAAATCCGTCCAGGGCTGGCCTGTGACGGTTGCATGTGGCCTGTTTGCTATGGGAGGGGCGGCAAACTGGCCCAGTGGGGCTGGCCAGATTTTCCTGCCAGGGCAGAGGTGGACTAGACTAGAGTGCTCTGTCGGAGAGGGGAAGCCGCTTGCATGCCCCTCTCGGAAGGGGCGTGATCCGGTGGCAGCTGGCTCTCGGGCAGGGCAGCGGGCGTGTGCCGGGCTGATGCGCTTTTGGGAGGTTCCGTAGATTTTTTCTGCGTCTACGAGGCACGGGGGCGCCGGCGGGCCGGGGGGCCCCCCAGCCGCTCCTATTTCAGGGCATGTAGTGCATCTTGCACTTCCAGTCGCTCTTGAAGGCTCGTTTCCTGATCAGTTCCGCTTGTAGCAACTTCCCTGCCACTTGATTTCCTTTCAGCCCTTGGCACGACGGGCTTGCTCTTTGCGAGGGGCAGGCTTTTCGCTGGGGGGGGCAGGCTGGGGCTCCGGCATGCTCAGCGCTTCTGCACAACCCCCCCTTCCGCCTGTGTCACCCCGTGAAATACCGGTTCTGACTGGCCTGCCCTCCACTGTGTAGCTCCACCGAACTGCGCCAGGGAATCGCCAGGAGGGAGCGAACTCAGCTTTGTTCTGCCGCTTCTGAAACCCCTCTCTTGGGCAAACACGCTGGCCTCTCCAGTTGTCACGACCGAGGGAACGTGTCCCCCGCAAATGACTGGTCCCCCTTCCTCATTCTCTGTAACTGGATGCCTCAAACTTTGTTTGCAAGGCCACCTTAGACGTCCCAGCGGGAGGTTTTTGGAACCTTTCTTTGGCGCTTGGCTGTCCAGGCCACCTGCCCTGAATTTTGGTGCACCTCTCTGGAGGGTTTGGTTTCCACTGACGGCAATACTATGCAATAAATGTTTTGTTGATTTCAGGGAGGCAGTTGTGAATAGCGCCAGGGGTTTGGCGATCAATGGATGTTTGGAGCCCCATGAAGCTTTGGGAAGGGAGGGAAAAGTAAACTCCTGCCCTGCCCTGTCCTTCAGAAGCAATTTCACTTCATCTGTAAGTGATGGGCCTCGTTTCCAAAATCCAGGCATCTTGTTGCTTACCATTATCAGCCCTCGCTTTCCTTGACGGCAGAACCCCAGGCTGGCCAAGAGAAAGGGGGGGCTGTATTGGAAGCAAGAGGGGTACTGTCCCTCGAAAAACAGGCTGCAATACTCCTAGAGACCTCCTCTAAAAACATCCATTATCTTGATTGTACATTATTACTTTTTTTATAGCTTACTTTGTTTTTATCCGTTGTAGAGAATTCCTTGTTGTCTTATATTAAGAACTACTTGAATGATACAGTAAGCGATGCCTCGAGCTGGTATTGTGAAAGCTATTGGAAAGCTGCAGTTTGCAGCCTTTTTTTTTTTTTAAGTGGGAAGTGGGTGCTTTGGTTTTCCACTGTGTTGTTGGCAAACTTCCCTGCTTCCCGCCCACAGAAACCTTCACCCCCGCCCCCACACTGAAAGGCAGCCTAAGAAGGCCAGTGAACTGGGTTGACCTTTCTTTGCTGCTTTGATGGTTAAAGGTCTGGGGTTGTCTTCAGTCCTTACAAACATCAGGGCTGCGGCCCTGGGCTTGCTGGGGTGTTGCTGGAGGACATGTTGAAGAGCTCGGAACGGATCCTCAGCTGGGGTCAAATCTGGCCATATAAACGCTTGCTGAAGATTTGCCCCTCGTACGTTTGGTGAGCTTGTTCTCTCGGGGAGAGGTTCAAAGTAATTGAGCTCCTGTCTCCCGTCGGTGCCTCTGAAAGCTCCCCCTTTAAAGAGAGGGCCGAGAGCTGTTGCACTTGGTTGATTTTCAGGAGCGCTTTTCTGGCGGCTTGCCCAGCTGTTTGGTTTAAACCAACGCTGGTTTGACCGGGCGCTAAAAGTCAATCCTGATAGTTTGACTTGCCTGGTGCGTCTGTCAGTTCGCCCATCAGCCAGAGCCTTCCAGGAAAATCTGTAGCAAACTCCCCGGCTTGCTAATGCCAGGGGAAGGCTGAGACTTTCATGCCATTTAAGAATCCAGTAGTCAGCCCAGTTCCTCTTTGCTTTCTAGGTGGCCTTTCAGAAGCACGCTCGCTCGGAGGCAGCGCACCGGGCAGCGTCGGGATGGTGAAATGCCTTGCACACGTGGGCTGAGAGGTCCACTTTGTGTAGGCACCTGCAAGATCCGACTTCAGTAGTATTTGTGCGCCCCCCCCCTCCCCCCAGTGGCTGCCATTACCCACTGGGAGCAGAGGGCATCTAAGTGGGAGACGTTGGATGCTCAGGTCTTTGGCAGGATCTGTCCCTTGGTGTGTCGGTGTTAAGACACGCAATGCTAATGCATGTGTCCAGGATTGGGCCCGCATCCCAGCTCCCCACAGGTTACTTCCCCTTGGTTTTGTTTCCAAAGACAATGCTTGCCCAGAATCTCTAGCACTTAAATGGTTCTGTGCCCACTTTTAACCCTGTCTTGCCAAAGTCCTTCTTGTAAACCCAGGTTTTCCTCCGTCACTTGTATTTTTTTAAAGCCCTTTTTTCTTTTTTCTTGTAAAGCATCTGTCTTGGAGACTTTTTGAAAAGTTTCTTGCAAGTTCTAGCAGGAAATTAATTTTTCCCCCCCTCTCCCCTTGGTCCTTCTTCAGTCAATTAACTTGATTTAGAACTGGTTAGAAACTTTACTGTGAATCTTAAACCTTTTTTTTTATCGATACAGGAGAAAATGCTTTCTCCGCTTCGCAATTGAAGAAGACTGCCAAAGCGGGGTTTGACTTAAAATCACATGAACGCACTGTTGGTTTGCCTCGAGCTAGGGGCTGGTTTAAAAATAAAACAAGTAAAAACAAAAGAAAATAAAAAATAAAAAAACAAGCACTTTATTGTATGTACCAGGTGAACTGATACAGCTCAATCGAAGTTTTCCTTTGTAACAACGGTCGATGCCAGAATTTTGTATTCTGTTTTGTAAGAATTTAATAAATGCGTTGAAGCTGATCTGAGACTACTCGGCTAGTTTTTTCTTAGGGAAAATCATGGATCACGACTGTCTGTGTGTTGTGAAGCAACAGGATCACTTTCGGTGCATTAAAACCCAAGCTTCTTGGGTGATGCGGACGAGGGATGGACTCCTTCGTGAGATCTGCAGATGCTGCCGAATTGGGGTGGGGCGGGGGGTGGGAAACTGAGGGCAGCCAGCAAGGGGGTGTGGTCAGAGAGCTTTGTCCTACTCTGTCCGGAGGGAAACGCCACTGCAGGTGCTGGAGAGCATGAGACGGAGGGGCAGGACGAGCTGAACGAAACGTGGGGCTGCTAGAGCCTGCGAGCCCCAGGCTGGCAATGGGCGAGCCGAGGGGGGGCAGCCTCTGGCCATGGCAAGGCAATAAGGGGCTGGTGTAAAGCGGTGAATCAGGCACAGGGAACCTCGGGCCTGGGGGCTGCATCTGACCCCCCCCCCCAGCTTGCCTGAATCTGGCCCCTGAGTCTACAGGCTCCCCTGTCCAGCATTCGGGAGTTGGCACTGATGCTCCAGGGCTCCCTGTGTCCCTCCACGGTGGGGCCATGAACACTCCTGGCTGGAGCTGGGCAAGTAGGGCCAAATCCGACCCCTGGCTCTGCCTGGAGGAGGAAGGAAGCTGCTCCTGGCTGGGGAAACAGCAGGGTAGCAAAGCAAGGCTTGGAGGCTTTCCCTGCTGATCTTGACTGGTGGTAATCACAGCCAATCGGAGCAGTGGGGTGGTGCCAGGAGCGGTGGAGCCAGGTGTG